AATTTGAAATGTATGGTTGGAGGTGAGTTTTATGGGCACTGTGGATTGCCAGAAGAATAGATTAATAGAGTTCTGGATCAAATCAAACCTGAATGCTCATTAGAAGCCAAAATGACTAAACTGAAGGTATTATGTCATGAGAAGACAAGATTCATAGGAAAAGACAGAATTAAGAAATATTGAATATGGTAGGTAAAGAAGCAAGCCTGATATGAAATTGATTGACTCAAAGGAAATCAAGCCCTTTAGTTTAGAAGAGATGAGCCGGCCTGTTAATGGTAGGCCCTTTTGAAATTCATAAATTTATAGGGTAATCCAGCTAACTATTAGAGAGTCAGAACAGAAAACCAGCTGCCTTCTACAGGTCACTGTGTGAGAGACAGTGGGACTGTGATTCGGCTGTTGCTGGCTGCCAACTTTTTCCAAGGGAGCCTGGCTCAGTCTCCCTGTGCTTTGCAGGACTGGTCCCTGCTACTCCTGGCTGCCCCACCCCCTCCTCCTGGCTGGGGGAGGGAGGAAAAGGGGCTTTAGAAGGTTTTTTTTTAATCGTGATTATTAATTGCCATCAATTAAGAGGGACCCACAGTGGATTTGAGGGAACAGGAAGGGGGGAGGCCGTTGAAGGGGGCAGCCATTGAGGTGGTGCTGGGTAGGGGAAGGAATGGGGCGGGGGTAGAACATGCCCACGTAGGAGAAGAGAGGTTAGATATCTTGCCTCTATCCCCTCTTCTAGTCCTGCCCCCAACCAGATGGTATCAAGTGACCATATCAGCAAAACCTCAAGCCACACGGTGCTGTTGATGAAGGCCAGATCAGTACAAAATAAGACTACCCTCATCCATGATGTAATTCTGGATGAGGGTGCTGACCTGACATGCATTACTGAGACCAGGGTGGGAGAGGAGGGTGGTGTTCCCCTCTCCCAGCTGCATCCGCCTGGGTACCAGCACCAATGTTGCTCAGAGGGTTGGGGAGGGGAAGTTGCTATAGTCTATAGGAGTTCTATCTCCTTGACCAGGCTTCCTATCCCTTTGAGAGGAGGTCTTGAGGGCCTGTATTATGTATTGGGCATGCGAGACAGATTGGGGATTCTGTTGTTGTTTTTTTCTCCAAATATTTAACATTTATTTTCAGTAAAATAGATATTTCTGGAGATTTTTTTGTGAAAGGAGGGAGGCTGTGCTTAGATGATACTTAAGCTGCAATCCTATTCCCACTTACTTGTGAATAAACTCCAATGGATACTCAGTAAATGCATTTATTTCTGAGTAGGTAGCACATTCCACCTTTTTTCAAACCATAGACACTGTTTAACTGCTTCATTAGGCTTAATGGTGACTCCTTCTCATCCTTATTAACCACTGTTGTTATGTTCCATCAAGTCATTTCTAATTTAGGGCAACTAGATGAATTAGTGAACTTCCATGTTTGTTAGCAACTCTGCTCACATCTCACAAATTAATTAATAATAAAAGCTGGAATGTTGTATCCATTTACCTGGCAGGAAGTCTCATTTAACTTAATTATTTAAAATATTTTAGCCCCACCTTTCTCCATAAAAAGGCAAGTTACATCATTAAAAGACAATATTTAAAGTTAAAAACAATAAGTATATAAATACTGGAAAAGATCAAACAAATACAGTACCATATTAAAAAGTGGTAAACAAAGCAACACCAAAAACACATTCAAAATAGTAAGGCATAACCATCATTCAGGCAGCTGGTCATTAAGGGAAAGCTTGCCTGAAGAGAAGGGACATTGCCTGCTTGCAGAAGCACACCAAAGGTCGGGCCAGGCTGGCCTCCTGTGGGAGGGCGTACTTAAGTCTGGGAGCAGCAACAGAGGAAGCCTTTTCTCATGCACCTCTGAAGGTGGTGGGACAAAATAAAGGTCTCTCCTGATGATCTTAACATCCAGGTAGTCTCATATTGGGAGACATGGTCCTTAAGGTAATTTGGAACCAAGCTGTTAGGGCTTTATAGGTTAGAACAAGCACTTTGAATTGTGCCCAGAACCAGAATGGCAGCCAGTGGGGTTATGCGATCCCTGTGACAAGTCCCAGGTAGCAATCTTGCTGATGAGTTTTGAACCCATTCAACACTTTCCAGAGGCAGCCCCATATAGAGCATGTTACAGTAATCCAGTTCAGATGTAACTAAGGCATGTGGTTACCATGGCTAGATCAGACCTTTCTATGAATTTAGTGGAATTTAATTCTCAGTAGACACTGAGTAGATTGTACTCTAATCCCCACTACCTCAATAAAGGTTGCACCTTTTGAATGTTAGAAAATTTTTGACTTATACAGATATTTTAGACAAAGATAGGCAATTAAAGCTAAAACAAGACCTTATAGACCAGGGGTTAGATGCATCGTGGTGGTCTATAATGCAAATACAATCAAGATATGAACGGGACCTAAAAATGTACGATTTTTATAAAGAACAGACAACTTTTGACCAAATAATGTTAACATCAGATGACAAATTAATTAGGAAAGTATATAAATACCTTCTAAATTGGAAAATGGAGGATGAACAGGTCAAAGAAACGATGGTTCAATGGGCAAAAAATTTTGGGTACAATATTGACTTAGAAAAATGGCAAGGGCTGTGGTCTAGAAACTATAAGATGACAATGGCAACATCTTATAAAGAGAATCTATATAAAATGTTTTATAGATGGCATTTACCTTCTGTTAGATTAGCTAAGATGTACTCTAACAGGTCAAGTAAATGTTGGAAATGTCATAAAAAAACTGGAACCTATTATCACCTCTGGTGGACTTGTGATAAAGCAAAAAAATTTTGGTACAAAATACATACATGGCTTGTTAAAATAATCAAGAAACATGTAGATTTTAGGCCAGAGCTCTTTCTGTTAGGTATAATACCAGAAAGTGTTGATAGACAAAATGTATATTTAATACTGCATATTCTAACAGCGGCGAGGATTATTTATGCACAGTACTGGAAAAATGAAGGAACATCTACGGATCAAGAAATAATTAAAAAGATATTGGACTGTGCCGAAATGGACAGACTAACACTGAAAATCAAAGGAAAAGAAGATACAAAATATTACCAAACATGGGACTTATTCTATCAATGGTTAGAAGGATGTTGTATAGATTAGGAGTATAATGTGTGTAGTAGTTGTTTTACAAATGATTATAAGCTGTACCCTGGTGACACGATGTTAAACCAATATGGATGGATTTATATAATAAAAAAAGATTTTAAAAAAAAGGTTGCAATTTAAAAGGATGGATAATATCCTCTTTTAATCATTGAGACATTACACCAATTGCTAAGTATATATTTGCACATATCCTATTCTCAAACATAGGAAGGCAACATTGTTAGTGAAAGGGGGTAAAAATATCTCAGATCCCACCTAACCTACAGGCTATGTGATCAGGTCTGCAAAATCAGCAAACTGTTCATTGGAGAGATTTGTGGCATAAAATGATAACAGCAGCTTTTCATACAGGAAGGGATAGCTGGTGTCTAGTGATGGGCACGAATCACTGGTTTGCAGTTCCTCCTGGTTTAATCTGTCAGTCCAGCAGGTGTTCAGCAGTTCAAAGCCCTACCTCCTCCAGCAGGCCCCCACTCAAAAGCAGAGCCTGCAGGAGGATGGGCAGGGAAGCCTGAGTGGGTACCTGCCAGAGGAGGTGGGCTCGGACCACAGAACACCTGTTGGACTGATGGATAAACTGAACTGATAGTTCATGCCTGTCTCTCCTGGTGTCCAAAGCGAGTTCCAAGGAGAATTCATAATAAGCTCAGACATACATCTTGGGGGACTCATCTCCCTAACAAGGGTGGGGCCTGTGTAAACAAAGCCTTCAATCCACAAAGCTCTGATCCAGTCACAAATTCTGAGTTACTTGTCTGACTCACAGAAAGTGTGAGTGTTGCATGGCAACCAGCACGAACAGGAAACTCCTGAACCAATCCACGGCCCCTCAATGGGCAGTGTTTGTAATTTTAGACATAATGTAAGCTGTGAATCAAACTGCAGCCAAACAGAATAGTTCTTATTCAGCTCTCCAATGTAGCCATACCTTGAGATATTTAAGGAATAGCTTTAACAATTCCTCCACCACCACCCTGTCCCAAGTTCCCATGGCCAAAAATGAATTCACATCCAGGCCTCCTGAGTCCTAGTCCCCCACTCTATCTATCTATCTATCTATCTATCTATCTATCTATCTATCTATCTATCTATCTATCTATCTATCTATCTATCTATCTATCTATCTATCTATCTATCTATCTATCTATCTAATTTTTATTTAATCCATTTTTATACTGCCCCCGTTACTGCAGAGCACTAGTCTGGGCAATTCACAACAAAATAAAATAAGAACAACAAAAAGCAATGAATAAACCGACAAACGAATTAAGTGACATCAAACCACAAGCAGTGCAAAATACACATGTTAAAAGCGGCAGGGCAATGAGGCTAAGAAAAATCCAAATGAGGTTGCCTTCAAAAGCCTCTCTATCCACTACGTCACATCACACTGGGTACCTGCTTATTCTACTGTGAACGAAATAGACACAGTATTACAGGAAAGAAGAGGGACCCCTCCCCCCCCGCAAAGTCCATTTTCGGAGGAAGGCAATGCAGTAGAGTTAGGATATTACACGTAGGAAATGTTGGCTGCTTTGAGTCCTACAAAGTAACTATTGTAAGAACACCGGTTATTACAGTACTGAGATCAAAAGCGGAGAACTTAACTGCACGACTCGTTTACTGCCACCGCACAGTGTGTAGTGAAAGTCGCATCCTAAATCTGATGCAAATAAAACGGCCGAAACAACGGCAGCTATACTTTACGGATTGTGGATATGCTCTGTTAAAAATTAATATATACATGTGTGATTGTAGTTTTAAAACTTTTTTTGTCTTTAAACATTTCCCGGAACTAGTAGACACGGTAGTAGCTATTGCCCGAGCCTACTTTTGTGGTGCACAAGGGGACCTCGGTGAGAAGTTGTGCCCTGTGAAGTGGAGACCGGAAGTGGTGGGAAGTAACCTGCATCCACGGGAAAAAACGGGTTTGTTCCCCTCGCGGTCCAGGGCTTAGACCGGCTCAAAGAAGACGGTAAGGGAAAGGATTGAAAGTGAGGGATGTGGCTTGAGTCGAGCGGAATTGCGGGCCTTGTCGGGTGAACAGTTGAGTGCAATCTTTAGTATATGGTTGACGGCGGGAAAATGGGAATTAGTACAAAATAGCCTTCGAGCACTTGGGAAGGGAACAGACCGTGTAAGAATATATTTTAATTTTATTCGGACTCATTTCCTTCGAGTTATCGGTCCTGAGACTGTTTGCAAATGGAGGCGTGCTAGATTTTTGTAGGACCAATAGTTCGCCTCAGCAAAGTAAGCGGTGACTCTCAAGAGGAGTGTCTGTGTGTGTCATTCATTCGGCGTATTTTAAAATATGAATTTGTGCATTGTAGTTTTTTGCAAGGATATCTTGTCCATGTGAGTTTTCAGATAACCGTTCTGACTTCTGTAGCTGTTTAGTTTCTGGAAACTAAGCAAATTGAGCTGAACAGATCAGTTCCAGAATGTTACTGCAAACAGTATCTAGTATGTTGGCCCACACAGAAATTAATTAAAATAATGTTGCCTCTCTAGAAGATACATGTTTGTGCCTTTCTGTATCTAGTTGAAGATCATTTGCTTTTTAATCATGTTTTCTTCTCTGACTTTAGGTATCAAAATGGCAACAGGAGCAGATGTCCGGGATATATTGGAATTGGGAGGTACAGAGTCTGAGAATGTAGGAACTATTAATAAGAAAGACATCATCAATTCTGATAAGGTACATTATGGTTAAGCTGAAATTAACACTGAAAGTACATAATTAATCCCGCTTTATATTTTATTCTGTTTCCATTTATGTCTTCTCAGACACATGTGGGGAGATATCTGCCGATACAGTCCCACCATGTGATTTTGCCCAGGTGTTGGACGGCCATCCACATGTATGGGAAGAAATAAAGTTGAATATGGCAACAGGAGATAGAATAATCACTTTTTATTAGTGCTGAGAAGCTTAATCCTCTAACTCCTTCCTTTTAAATGACAGTAAAGAGTGTTTCCCCTGCTGCATAGCCCAGAAGAGAATATTACTGTTTTTTTTGACTTTGGCAGAATGATTCCCTCATGTAGGGAGCTAGCTGATCATAACTCTGCTCAGTTGTTGGAAAGTACAGTAAAAGTAAGTAGGTAAGTAAATAAATAAGTAAATAGGTGGGTAAGTAAGTAATTTTCTTTATCAAGCATTGGAGAGACGGGAGAATGAGGCAGAGGGTGGTTTGGTTCGAGTAGATGTTGCCTCATTTTTGGGTGTGCGAACACACGTATTTTGAAGAAATGTTTTGAACACCAGTTCACAGAGACTTGTATGACAGAGGCTGTTTATGTCATAAAAATGACTGTTTTGTGGCCTTCCCTCCTGTCAATACTTAATTTCTTTTTTCTTCTCATTTATTTTTTGTTCTATTATTGCATGTGTCACAGTCTGTTTGTTAAAATTTTTTTTATGGTTTATTGTGTATTCTTTATTGTAAGCCGCCCAGAGTGGTCGACCAGACCAGATGGGCGGGATATAAACAAACAAACAAACAAACAAATAAATAAATAAATAAATAAATAAATAAATAAATTCAGTTGAATTTACATCAGAATCTTAACATATATCACAGAAGGCTCTGATTTACAACATACATAAGTAGAGGAATAATTTTATACACTTTATATAGTGGTCAGGACTGAATGTTGGGATTTTACTAGGAGCAGATGAGAGAGAAAGTGACATACTAAGAAAACTAAGCATTTCTTGCAGAGCAATTCTATGTATGTTTCCTGAGAGGCAAATTCCACTGTGTTCAGTGAAACTTGCTTCCAAGAAGTTGCCCATGAATTTGAAGTCTGTAATTCCCCAAAGAAGTGTCCTTTCTGTGAAAGTGAGAAAACACCAATATTTTCAAATGCTGGGGATGATGTGCTCCCTAAAAGCGGAGTTTTCTCTGGTTTTATTTTCTCAGATAATACACTGACAACATGAAAATGAAGCAGGGAAAGCTTTTTACCTCATTTTTGTGCCATATCCCTTGTAAAGTTTGCAAGAAGCACACATAGCTTTCTGGTAAGGAGCAAAATTTATTCCTGTTGTGTCCACCAAGTTACTCGTGCTTGGCAGCTGCCCCCAGCAAGTGCCACTTTTTGTTCCTTACAATAAAAAACTATTTGCAGACAGTTATATAGAGAGAAGAGAAAGCATGCAATGTTGATGATTTGGGGTTGCTTGCACAACTCTTCAGTGCAAGTCTCTTAACATAGCCAGAACATGTGTCAAGCCAAAGGGGCAGAACATGTATCTGAGCACATATTCTCCTTCTGAAAGTTGGGCTCATAGCTTAACTCCCAGAGGTTTGCAGTTTGTGTCTTCTTCAGAAAGACACAGGAAGATCCCAGGATAATTGTGGGGAAAAGGAATTCCAAAGTCAGCAGTAAGGTGAATTACTCCCAATAGAGGAGGGCTGGTGGAGAAAAGAAGGATACAAAAGGCTGGAACATCCATGCTCAGATTAGCCTTTCACTTTTAAAATTAAGGATCTCTCTCAGGTCTGTCATTTGTAAGCAGCTAAATACTTGCAATACATTTCTAGCTGTCCTTTTTTGGAGGTCTTGCTGCAGAGAACAGGGCACTTGGAATCCCACAGAAGTCTCTGTGGGGAGCTGTGTATGATCTGAATGGCAGCTCAGCAGCAGAGCATTTGCAGAACCTCCCCCCTCCCCCCCACTTGAGCCATCTTTCCTTCCTTGCGGCTCCCTGTTGCTTCTTTGTCTGACTCACACATCCATGCAGATATGTGGAGTCCTGTCTGTAGCTGTTCAAGCTATATCCTTCTAATACTGTAGGTCACTTCCTATTTGCATGGCTATTCCTTTTACCAATTACCCCAACAAGCACAGCTTCAATCACTCTCTGCTTTCTATCTGGACATCTGGAAATGGAAGGGAGAATGTTGAGTCAGAAAGAAAGAATGGATGTGTGTAAACAACTAGGCTCAGAAGAAGAGGACAGCATGTAAGAGGAAATAAGTGTCAATTGAGTGCAGAAAAATTCTGGGCATCACCTTGGTCCTTGTTGCAAATGCCAGGATATATCTGTGCCTATGGTATTGCATAGGATATCATAACTGTAGGGATCTACACAAGTAACAGATAGTGTGAGAATTTAAATAAAGCTAGACTTGAGTCAGAAGACTCCCTGGAAAAGACCCTGATGTTGGGAAAGTGAGGGCAAGAGGATAAGGGGACGACAGAGGATGAGATGGTTAGACAGTGTCATTGAAGCTACCAACATGAATTTGACCCAACTCTGGGAGGCAGTGGAAGACAGGAGGGCCTGACGTGCTCTGGTCCATGGGGTCATGAGGAGTCAGACACGACTAAACAACAAAAAGACTTGAGTTAAGAACAGAGGAAGCTGATTTATAGAGAGTCAGATCATTGGCTCAGCAAGCCAGGTAGGATTTCCCTCTCCTAGATGTATCTATAGATTGCTGGTGTTTTCTGGATTTGTGCAAGTACTAACCAGGTACAATCCTACATAGCATCCGAAATCAGCTGAGATCCATATGTTTAGAATGGGCTGGTGGTTTAATTAGAATACCATTAAACTGGGTTGTTCAGAAATTTTTGGATCATCCGGAAAAAGGAAAACAGGCACAAACGATGTGATGTAAAGAAAGAAATGTTGCAAGAAGTGATTGTTTCAAAAAAATCTTATCTATAATTAATTCTGATGATCCCGCCAAAATTTTTCCTTGGTGGAGCTTCTAATGAACATGTTCTCTTTCAGAAAAAATCTAAGAAGTCATCAGAAACCCTAACATTTAAAAGACCAGAGGGGATGCACCGGGAGGTCTATGCACTGTTGTACTCGGATAAAAAGTAAGGGTTTTATTACAAGTTTGGTATTGGATCATGGTTTTCTTTCTTTGTAACCTTCTCTTCTCCTAGACTTTATGCATGTTTTCAGAAATGCTGGAAGGCAAGGGGAAGGTATCATCAGCTGTTTTTGGAAAAAAATGAAATGTATATAGTCCCTTTTAAAATCAAACTTAAACTTAACTTTTCTTTTCTAAGAATATGATTGTTTTACTTTCAGCTTGCTTAATAAATAAATATGAAATTTTTGAATATATTTGTAAAATCTAAAAATATACATTGGTGGATTTTGATATTGATCATGATATCCTCGGGTGCTGTCTCTACATGATGGGATTTGGAGGCAATGCTGTACAGTGGCTTTGACTCTTCTTGGAAGATCAGGATCAAAAGTTGGTACTGGGGAACTCTTGTTCAGTGTCCTGGTTGTTGGCCTATGACAGTAGCACCCAGCCTTTGGTGTCCAGATGTTCTTAGACTAAAACTCTTAGAAGCCTTCACTACTAGTTGTACTGACCAGGATTTCTTGGAGTAGTTCAAGAACATCTGGTGGCCCAAGGTTGGGAACCATTGACTTATGAAAGCCTTCAGGGTTCTTTGTTGTTACCCGTTTTCTTCAACGTATACATGAGACTGGGGGGAGTTGTTTTTGTAGTTTTGGGGTTCTGTGTCACCAGTGATACCCAATTCTGCTTCTCCTTTCCATCCAAGTAGGAGGAAGTTTCAGTTCTAAACTGGGATTTAAGGTCGTAATAGAGACTGCATAATGGTGAAGAAATTGAAATTTAATCCAGATACAGACATCCTTGATCAATCATAAAGTAGATCAGGGAATAGGGCTTCAATCTGCTGGATGGGGTTACACTCCTCTGAAAACTCAAGTTTCTATCTTGGGTCTATTCTTGTATTCAGCTCTGAATTGAAATGTCCAGGTTTTGGTAATGTCCAGGGGAGCATTTGAACTAAAATTAGTGCACCAGCTCACCTTACAAGAGAAGTCCGATCTGCTCATTGTATTGCATTCCTTGGTTGAAACCTATTTGGATTGTTTTAATTTGTTCTGCATGGGGCTGTTGTTAGAATATGCAGTGGGTCCAAAATGCTGTGTCCAGGGTGTTGACTAGAGACCGTGACAGTGAGAATAATTTGCTTCAGTAATTTCACTAGGTATGTTTCTAGACATGCTGATTATGACTTATAGAGCTCTATATTGCTTGCATAACACTAATGGAACATTATAATCAATCAATCAATCAATCAATCAATCAATCAATCAATCAATTAATTAATTAATTGCAACCTGGCTTCTGAAGGACAGTTCCCCTACCCTCAATTGTCTCTGGGTCTTCAAGAGAGTACTATCTGTTCCATTATCATCAAGAGGCATATCTGGTGAGGATATGAGAGAGGGCATATTCACCAGCACTTCCAGTCTATAGAACTCCCTTCTGAAGGGCTAGGCAGGCTCCTTCTGTTGTTTTTCTGCTGCTAGGGATAGGGAAAGGCATTTTTATTTAGACAGTCCTTTGGCCAGCAATTGGCTTATGAGGAGGGGCCTTTTAAAGGTGGGTGGGATTGAACTTTGTGTGTGTGTATGTTTTAAGTTGTTCAAATTATGTGCAATTTAAATATGATAACTTGACAGTTTTTTATAACTATAGTTTATTGTGTGTTAAAACCATTTTTTAAACAACTACATTGAGAGCTACTGTGGTTCCTTCAGGGAGAGAGGTGGAATACAAATTAAATAAATGAATGAATAACATATTTCAGGGCAATGTACCTTAAAGTGCCTAAGCCCATCTGATCTTTTATCAGTTGGAATAGTAAAAATAAACTTGAAGTTTAAATTGGAAACCTTTAGCCTTCAATTAAGAAAAGAAGCATGCTGTTATCTAAGAATTAGGACCGTTTTCTGTTTCTGATGATCCACATTACATGTTTAGTGTGCCCAATGAGTTTTGGTGTTTGTTTCTCAAGAAATGGTTCATCTTACATCATTGCAAGCCCTTTTTTTAACTGAAGGAGAATTTTGAAACTGTATGTGATATTCCATGTCCTTTTCCTTTTTACCAATTTTTACCATCTGTATTCTAATTCAACCAGTTGTTTTTCTTTTCTTTTTTCCTGCCCCGTCCACCAAATTAGGCAACAGTTACCCATGTAGTGCTAAACTATGTTTTTATGTTTCACATGATTCAGTCTTTTGAGTCTTACTGTCAGTTTTTGGTTTTTTATATCTTAATGGGCTAACTTCATAAATGAGATCAGTCAGGGCTGGCCCTCTAGACATTTGGAATGTGTGCTCATTGTGTAAGATCGTTAAGTTGGCCTTCCATGAAGGTTACAAACAAAGTAATGGAAATGTGAAACCATCCTCATAAGGACAGCATGTTTCATTAATGTGTGGTTTGTATCTGTTACAGGGATGCACCTCCCCTTTTGCCAAGTGACACAACGCAGGGCTACCGCACAGTCAAGGCTAAGTTGGGCTCTAAGAAAGTGCGCCCTTGGAAATGGATGCCCTTCACCAACCCTGCTAGAAAGGATGGGGCTATGTTCTACCACTGGAGAAGGGCAGCTGAAGAGGGCAAGGATTACCCTTTTGCCAGGTTCAACAAAGTATGGAGGCTTATATTTTGTTTTTGATATGTGGATCGCTTGATAAATAGGAATCAAAATATCTTAAAAGGACTATTCCCAAATATCCTTTTCCTACTATGTGCTGCCTCTAAGAGAAGACAATTTTGTTTCAGCTTGAGACATCATAAGTCTCTGATTCTTCTTCATGGTCTCTGTGAATGCACACTATAGGGTTTAATCTGCGCTTGCACAGAGGTTTCCAGAATATTCTAGAGCTTTATCACGTGTTTGCCAGGACCACCCCCTGGTACATCTGGTCCACCCGTCCTGGCAATTGCCTCAGTTCGTTTTTGCCGCTGCTGAGGTTTCATCTCTCAATGAGCTCTTCATTCGCGAATATCTTCTAGATTAAAGAAAAACAGGGAAATTAGTGAGAGACTTTTTGATCTGTATTCCCTCTTCCTCTACCTCTTTCCCTTTCCCTTCCCGCCATTTTATAGCCCTTACAGGGCTGTTCAAACGGTGCCGTTCGTCTCCCAATAAGGTCCCTCTTTCAGACGGACACACTTCTTGTCTGTTTTGCCTCGGAGAATCCCATCAACTGGCCTCATGCCAGTTCTGCAAAAATCTCATGAAACAGGCTCTCAGATTCCGGCAACAAAGTCTCAGATCCTTTCTCTGGGAACGCTTGCTTTGTCTTGTACTAGCTATGGAGACTACGTAGCCTTCCCAGGCTTACCCTGCTTTCCTCAATGCCCCTACGACTTCTCTGACACCAAACCAAAATTTAAATCGATTTCTAAGTCTTAAGTCCTCCAGGTCAACATCGACGTTGACACCAATACCAAAGCTCCCCTCAACATGGGAGCATTCCAAATCTAAGAAATCAAATAAGCATTCTACCAAGGTCCAATCTTCTAAACAAGTATCCTCTATGCACTCAACAATTGATAAGTCTATGTCCTCCATCCCACTTCAGGACCAACCAACTATCTGTCTTGATTCCATCTTGGTGAATGACAACGACTACATGTCACCACCATCAGGTCATCCACTTTCACCTCTCTTAGCCCAATCTCCATCATGGGCTAATACCTTGGCTGAGGTGACAATACTACCTTGATCGGATCATTCGAGCCCCATGGGTTGCTCTGTCTCCGGGTGTGAGTCGGATTCAGCATCTGTTTTACTGATCTGCTATGTCCATGCAAACGATCTCGGAAGACACACCATACACCAGAGACTTACCAATCCGATGCCGATCTTCCACAACCTCTGATGTCTACGGGGTTGTTGGCATCGCATGATTCTTTGATTCGATATTGCCATCCTAAACGAGTCACTCTATACGAAACGCCAACATATTACAAACTTCCACCTAAGCGATACCGACATTGCTCGTACCATTATTGGCAGCCTGGTACCAGTTGTCGAGCTGGAGATCTCTCGGTATGCGTACTACTGTTATTCTGGTTCCTCGGACTCATAGTCTCTTCGTCAGTACCATCCACAACCACAGGAGTATGACCAATCCTCTTCTGTGGATGATACCTCACTTCCTCCTGTGGTACCGAAACTACACAAGTCTTCCAGTAAGAGGAGGCATGCCCCTGAACATGGTTCAGTGCAGCCACCTACGGTACCAAAATGCTCACAACCATCGGCTTCGACTTCACTGTTGAGCCTGCCACACTCTTGCAGGTTCATGTTTCATCTGTTCAGGCGACTATAACTTATACTGGACCCTCATCCACGCCTCTAGATGCAACCCAGGCCTGTCAAATTAAACATCTTAAACCTCACCATGCTACTACTCATTTTCTATCTTCTAAGCATGATATCAGTAAGCCCAAGAGCTACCCACATGTCACTCCACCTGATGTCCTGGCTTCTCCAGACCTCCTTCCCTGACTTAATCCAATTTTGACACCTTAGACTCCTTACCACCGCAGGGGTCTCCTCCTAACCTACCAACACCTGACTTGGCTGATACTAACCCTCCATCCCCATCAGAAGATTTTTCTTCTTATTCTCAGCTGGTGCTTCACATAGCTAAGGCCATGGGCCTTGACATGCAACAACCGGTCCAGTCCGAATCAGACAAAGTCTATGAAGATATTAATGAGGACCAGACGCCTCCATTTCACATGGAATTTATCCCATCTCTTCTAAAACTGATCAAGCAATCATGGTCCAAACCGTCTTTGGTACCACAGATCTTTAGGAGGGTTGAAAATTTATACAGAACACATGGAGACAATACTGCCTTCCTCTCCCAACATCCACCTCCATACTCTGTAATAGTAGATGCTACTCAAAACAGAGCATGAAACCGCTCTAATGCAACCCCTAATAATGAGGGCAGGAAGCTCAATATTGACAGCAGGGTCTATTCTCTCGCTTCCTTCACTCTACCTGCCGCAAATTATTTGGCAGCCATGAGAGCCTACCATCGGTTCTTATGGAATAAAGCCCTCCCAACATGGGATCTGAATACAAATCCCATGGCCTTGCCTTTCATCAAGAGGCCATGGCTCTAGCACGTCAAGAGGGCATCACTGCATGACATGGTGTTGAAGCTGCGTCAAAACATATGACTATCGCTGTTGCTCTCCAAAGACATGCTTGGCTTCATTCAGCCCATATTTCTTATGATTCTTGCATGCGCATTGAGGACTTACCTTTTGATGGCGTCAGCCTCTTCGATAAATAAAACCGACGAGATTTTAGATAACCTGCAAAAAAAGAGAAAAACAGCACGTATATAAAATAATCAACCGTACTCAACCATACTACAGACCCGAACGATATCAATGGCATCATCCCTACTCTTACCAACAATACAAGCCCTTTCCTGACAAACAGCAATACTTACCACAGTCCACCTCTTCCTTCCAACCTCAGCATCCCACACAGAGACAACTCCCCTGACAATATTTCAGGCAACTTGACAAGAAAACAAAGCAGGGTCTTTGACTTTCACACAGCCCAGATTCCACCATCCTACTTTCTGCCTCTCAACACCACTTGTATTGCAGGCCACTTTCCATCTTGAGCAGCCATCATTGCTGACTCTTGGATTCCTCACTATCATCTTCATAGGCTATGCAACAGAATTTGCATTCTTACCACCACTGAGGTCAATTCTCACCACACCATCACATGTCCTTAAAAAAAGAGATTCATTCCCTTGTCTTGATGCCATATCACCCTTCACCCCATCAGAAAACAACCCTGTCCCCTCCCTGATTCTTCATAGTACCATCCTCAACCTCAGGGACCTCAATTACTACATAATCCAGAAACGTTTCCGCATGGTGACACTAGAACGCATTCTACCCATCCTTCAAGAGAACGACTGGTTCACTGTCATCGACCTAAGCGATGTCTACTTTCCTATCACCATCCACCAAAACCATCGAAAATTTCTCAGATTTTCCCTCAGAGACACTGTCTGTGAGTTCAAGGTCCTCCCGTTCGGACTTTCCACTGTTCCATGGATATTCGCAAAGTGCATGGCCCCCATAGCAGCTCATCTCAGTACTCAAGGAATTTCCATCTTCCCATACATAGACGTATGGTTACTCGTAGCCCCCTCACGTTCTCAAGCACTACAAGATGAAGACTTCATTCCTTCCCTACTCTAGAATCTGGGCCTAAGGGTCAACTAGGGCAAATCTATACTAACTCCTTTACAGAAGGAGGCACAGTTCTGGACTAACAAAAAGCAACAGCTTTTCTTCCTTAGGAACATGCAACGAAAATGCACGTTATCCTGCAGCACTTTCAGCCTCATGCAATAATAACCGCACACCAGCTCAGTATCGTCACATCCACAAACTCAGTCATAAGCATGCTTGCCTAAAGATGTGCTCTTTGCAGGCATAGTACCTGTCCTTCTTCGACCCTATATCTGACCCACCTACAAAACAACTTAGAGTTACTCCCGAACTCGCAGTGGGACACAACAGTCAACCTCTCTGTGGGCAGACCATTTGCAACCCTTCAACTCACTGTGCAAGTTACCACAGATCCAAGTCCCATTGGTTGGGGTGCGCACTGCAATGGCCTTCACATTCATGCTCTCTGGTTTGGCGCCAAGAAATACCTGCATATCAACAACCTCAAGCTGTTAGCCGTTTTCAAAGCTTTCTGCACTTTCGAACTCATTATGGGCACAGCCATACAAGTGACCACAGACAACACTACTACACTTTTCTGTGTGAACAAGCAGGGAGGCACCCATTCCCTCCCTCTGCAGTACCTCACCATTCAGCTCTGGGAATGCTGTTTCAAACACCATATTTTCCTGGTAGCAGTTCATATCTCCACTCAACACAACCAGTTGGCAGATTCACTCAGCAGACTCTGCACCCAGATACACAAATGGGTCCTTGATGATGTCATCTTCCTCCAGCTTTCCAACATATAGGGAAAACCACACATAGACATTTTTGCCACAGCTCAAAATACAAAATGTGCTCTTTATTGTTCCAGAGCAGGAATTGGTCCAAGCTCCCTCGGAGGTGCACTCATGACCTTGTGGACGTCACACCTACTCTACCTCTTTCTTCCCATCCCTCTCCTCCTCAGGACCATTGTCAAACTCTTGTTCTAGAGCAGGAATTGGTCCAAGCTCCCTCAGAGATGCACTCATGACCCTGTGGACGTCACACCTACTCTACCTCTTTTTTCCCATCCCTCTCCTCCTCAGGACCGTTGTCAAACTCTGTCAGGAGCACTCAAACACGATTCTCATTGCCTCACGATGGCCCAGACAACCCTGGTTCCCCATGCTCCATCTCCAACGATTTCCTCTGCCTTCTCCCCATACCTCACCTACTCACCCAGCATCAAGGCCAGACATTTCATCCCAACATTAATGCTCTCCACCTCACAGCGTGGAGGATTCACCCTCAGTAGCTACCATTCTGGCTAATGCTAGAAAGCCTGCTACCACTCAGCTTTATACTTATAAATGGGTCGCCTTTCAGAAATTTGCAGCTCAGCACAACCTTCTAACCATTCCAACAACCCATCAGGCACTCCTTCAGTTCCTTTCTCACCTTTTCAGTCGATATCTTTCTTTGTCTACTCTCAAGGTTTATACCTCCGCCGTTGTAGCACATCAGCCAAAGGTCTCCGATGTTGCTATACTCTTCTGCCATCCAGCTCTGAAGCAATTCCTCAGAGGGGTCTCCAACATGCGACCTTTCAGACCTTCACTTCCACTGCAGTGGTCACTACATACTGTCCTCTGACATCTCATACTTCTCCCCTTTGAGCCCCTTGCAACCACATCGGACTGCTTTCTCTCCTTTACGACTCTTTTCCTAGTTGCTATTAGTTCTGCCTGCAGAGCCTCTGAGCTTGCTGCCCTTCGAGTTGATTGTCCATTTCTTCAATTCTACCCTGACAAAGTTACACTTTATCCTGATGTCTCTTTTCTTCCAAATGTAGTTTCTGAGTTTCTTCTCATCATTTTGCTTACCTTTTTCCCCTCACCGTCTACTGCCTTGGAACGCTCCTTCCACTGTTTGGATGTCAGGCAAGCTTTGGCTTTTTATGTTTCTAGGAGTTCCTCTTTCCACAAGTCTAAGAGGCTTTTTGTTTCCCCTCATTTACCACACAGGGGAACTTTTCAGACCATCTCTCGATGGATTGTTGCTACTATATGCCTCACATACCACCTTGCCCTCTGGCGTTAAAGCACATTGTACAAGGGCTGTAGCTGCCTTCACAGCTTTCCTGAGAGGCGTCCCTCTTCCTGATATCTGCAAGGTTGCCACCTGGGCAACTCTGTCAACCTTTGCCTCATTACCGTCTGTATGTCAGGGCATGTCAGATACGGCCTTTGGACAAGCAGTTCTGTAATCTGTTCTTCCGTGACGTCCTTTCTCTGGACAGGTAAGCTTGTTAATCACCCTATAGTGTGCATTCACAGAGACCATGAAGAAGAAAGAGAGGTTATTTACTGGTAACTCTGGTTCCTCGAGTAGTAATCTGTGAATTCACACATCCTGCCCATTCTCCCCTCTGTCCGTCATGTCTGTTTCTTTTGATACAGCGGCAGGCTGTTCTGGGAACTGTGGCAATTGCCAGGATGGGTGGACCACGTGTACTGGGGAGCAGTCCTGGCGAACACGTGATAAAGCTCTAGACTATTCTGGAAACCTCTGCATAAGCGCAGATTAAACCCTATAGTGCGAATTCACAGATGACCACTTGAGGAACCAGAGTTACAGGTAAGTAACCTCTCTGTCTGAAGCCTCAGGAAGTTAAAATGTTGTATTCTTCAGATCAGAGATGGGAAGTCTGCAGCCATCTATATATTGCTGGTCCTCAACTCCTTCCAGTTCCATTCAGTATACTTGTTGATCAGGAATGCTAGGATCTAGAACTGGACATTGGGAAGGAGGGAGAGGGTGAGGTATTTCTATTTCTTTGTCATTCAGGTAAGATTTTTTAAAAAGTGATGGTGGGGAGATTGAAGAAATGTATCTTACACCGTGAGAATACTTATGATTTCAGTATAGAAGATGACACATGGTTTTCTTTTCTTTGAAATTTTGCTGTGGAACTGTACTATGCATTGATGATGAATCCTGTTGTGTGGGTTGGTCTTTCTGCCTCAATCAGTTCCCTTCTTGCTGCAGACAGTGCAAGTTCCAGTCTACTCTGAGCAGGAATATCAGATGTACCTTCATGATGATGCCTGGACAAAAGCTGAAACAGACCATCTCTTTGACCTATCGCGACGGTTCGACCTGCGCTTTGTGGTTATTCATGATCGCTATGACCACCAGCAGTTCAAAGTTAGTAACAAAAGTGTTCCCTTGTTTGCTGTGTCACTCGTAATTTCCAGTTTAAGGATCTGCTTGTTCATAAATTGATATCTTGCAGAAAAGCTACATGTTGAACATGGAACAAGAACCTACAATACACAGAGGGCTAGTTAAACACCTGTTAGGGATTCCCAATATCTTTTCCTAGTTTTGTCACAAATGTTGTCAATAAAATGTTATAATTGCCATTGGGTAAGTGAGATTCACAGAAACCTCACTTTGGGTGGGGAACATTGTATGGATACATCTGTGAGACTCCTCATTCTTGGTATGGGTGTAACGTGCTTTTTTTAAATTCATGTTTAAATGTCCATCAGTATATGATAAGATGCATTTGTTGTTTTTGTCTCCCTTCTCTGTTGCTTTATGGTGCTCATTCCAGCTAAAGTATGTTTTAGCCTTGGAACAAGCATGGTATAGAATCAGGCAAATGAGGCTGGGAAGTGTTTACTACTGCCTGGCCAGACAGAAACAGAAGATGAGTGTTTGGTCATTATGAAGGTTAAGCAGTGCTAGCATGTATTGCTGGTTTACTCCCACCCTTCAGAAGCTAAATTTAGTGAGGGGGAAACAGTTTGAGGATGCAACAGCTGGGTAGTTAATTGAAATGCTGATAAAGATGTTACATAGAAGCAAGGATATAGACCACATGATTCTAAAAAAGTTTGCATAGAATTGTTGTTTAGTTGTTAAGTCATGTCCGAGTCCTTGTGACCCCATGGACCAGAACACGTCAGGCACCCCTGCCTTCCACTGCCTCCCGGAGTTTGGTCAAATTCATGTTGGTAGTTTCAGTGACACTGTCCAGCAATTTTCTCTATAATCCAGCGTATGTTAGCAATTTGGTCTCTAGTTCCTCTTCCCCTTTGAAATCCAGCTTATACATCTGGGAGTCCTTGGTCCACTCCTAGAAGTACAAGCTGGATTTCGAAGGGGCAGAGGAACTAGAGACCAAATTGCTAACATGCACGGGATTTTGGAGAAAACCAGAGAGTTCCAGAAAAACATCTAGAATAGGGAAGCCCATTATGTTCTTTCCCTTGTTTCTGATTTGTGTGTGGCTTGTGAATGGGCTGAATAACTCAGTGAGGTAGGCCTCTGGTTATGGATCCAGAGGTAGAGCTTTCAGTTTCCCAATGTGCATCCCAGAATAGCCAATCTGTGTGCCCTTGGGCAAACTGCGCATTCCTAGGTACTATCATTTCTGAATACTCTTTATCTAGAAAACCTTGAAATGGGTTGCCAGTTGACCTTGACAAGACACAGTTATAATTATGGCTTATAAAAGTTGGCAATTTTTCTTAGTGGAGGCTATTGACTTCTTGAACATTGAAGTGAAAGTATTCTGGTTAAATTCTAATATTTCCACCATAATGCTGGGTTGTAGTCTTGGCAGTGCATCTGTATGATGTAGATTTCTAGTAAAAATGTGTTTTCCAACGGCTGTACTACGTCTTGTTCCAGTTGCTGAACCAATAGTAATAAGGTCATGTGTGCAGCCAGAACCATTGTCTCATGATATTATTTGCATTAAGCTTCCATTTGTTGCTTACAATAAATTCCCAAACCATTATCTGTCGCATTTACATGCGTCCTGATTTTTTAAGTGTTAAATTTGTTCTCTTTTCAGAAACGGTCAGTGGAAGACTTAAAGGAACGCTACTATCACATTTGTGCCAAATTGGCCAATATTCGTGCTGCTCCTGGTACTGATCTGAAAATTCCTGTGTTTGATGCTGGTCATGAAAGGCGCCGGAAAGAACAGTTAGAGAGGCTATATAACAGGACACCAGAACAGGTAATGCCAGGAAATGCTAAAGACAGACCAATTTATACAAGATCAGTTGTAATACTGGTAATTCATGAACGCCACTCATTGTCCTTTCAAACTCTTCATCTTTTAAGGACTATTTCTAGAGTAACCAGAAAGATCTGGTTTATTCCAGAATTATACCTGAATTATACCTGAGTTCTGAATTATACCTGAATTATACTTGGTTTATACCTGGATTATACCAGAAAGATCTGGATGTCCTGAACAAACCAGATAGGGTGGTTGCTGACCTTGAGCCAGACATCCTGGGGAGTGAAGTCAAGTGGGCCTTAGAAAGCATGGCTAACAACAAGGCCAGTGGAGGTGATGGCATTCCAGTCGAACTATTTAAACTTTTTTACAATTGCACTCATTTTACATGCTAGCAAGGTTATGCTCAAAATCCTATAAGGCATGCTTCAGCAGTATGTGGACCAAGAACTCCCAGAAGTACAAGCTGGATTTAGAAGGGGCAGAGGAACTAGAGACCAAATTGCTAACATGTGCTGGATTATGGAGAAAGCCAGAGAGTTCCAGAAAAAATCTACTTCTGCTTCATTGACTATGCAGAAGCCTTTGACTGTGTGGACCACAGCAAACTATGACAAGTTCTTAAAGGAAATGGGAGTGCCTGATCACCTTATCTACCTTCTGAGAAATCTATACGTGGGACAGGAGCAACAGTTAGAACTGGATATGGAACAACTGATTGGTTCAAAATTGGGAAAGGAGTACGACAAGGCTGTATATTGTCTCCCTGCTTATTTAACTTATATGCAGAATACATCATGCGAAAGGCTGGACTGGACAAATCCCAAGCTGGAATTAAGATTGCTGGAAGAAATATCAACAACCTCAGATATGCAGATGATACCACTCTGATGGCAGAAAGTGAGGAGGAATTAAAGAACCTCTTAATGAGGGTGAAAGAGGAGAACGTAAAAAATTGTCTGAAGCTCAACATCAAAAAAATTAAGATCATGGCCACTGGTCCCATAACCTCCTGGTAAATAGAAGGGGAAGATATGGAGGCAGTGACAGATTTTACTTTCTTGGGCTCCATGATCACTGCAGATGGTGACAGCAGCCACAAAATTAAAAGATGCCTGCTTCTTGGGAAGAAAGTGATGACAAACCTAGACAGCATCTTCCAAAGCAGAGACATCACCTTGCAGACAAATGTCAGCATAGTCAAAGCTATGGTTTTTCCAGTAGTGTTGTATGAAAGTGAGAGCTGGACCATAAAGAAGGCCGACCGCCGAAGAACTGATGCTTTTGAATTGTGGTGCTGGAGGAGACTCTTGAAAGTCCTCTGGACTGCAAGGCAATCAAATCTATTGATTCTGACGGAAACCAACCCTGGCTGCTCACTGGAGGGTCAGATCCTGAAGCTGAGGCTCCAATACTTTGGCCATCTGATGAGAAGAAAAGGCTCCCTGAAAAAGACCCTGATGTTGATAAAGTGTGACGGCAAGAGGAGAAGGGGATGACAGAGGATATGATGGCTGGACACTGTCATTGAAGCTACCAGCATGAATTTGACCATACTCCAGGATTCAGTGAAAGACAGGAAGGCTTGGTGTGCTCTGGTCATGAAGAGTGACACGACTTAACAACTAAACAACAACAACTAGAATAACCACCCTGAACATATTAAGTGGTCAGCAATGACATAATTAATAGAACATTCTAAGTCAGAGCTTGGAAATAACATGCTAGAATTAACATGTTAATTTTAAATTTGTTACTTTTTGGGCCAACAAATTTTTGAAATTATTTTAATTATTTTCCCAATTACTAATATTTAATTAACATTCAGACATAATGTTCTAAGATCTGCTCCAAGTATGTTGTTGGATTTTTGTTTGAGAAAGTCCCTAAATAGGTAAAAGTATTACTAACCTTAAACATTATTAGCACATCATAGTCTAGTGATTGTACCATGTTAAAGAATTTTATGGTGAGTCATCCAACAGCAGTAGGCTGGTGTGCAGTGAGTTAAATGAAGTGTATGCGAACATTCCAATATGTGAGGAAACTGAATAGTGAAGAAGCAAGAAATCATTTTGGTTGGGCAAAACACATTCACAAGTCTCAGAGGCCAATAGACTAGACTCTGTAGTGGAGAACATAGTGTAATAGTAGCCAGAAAATAGGATGGTAGAAGGGAAAGATACAAATGAGGAAACAATGGATGGTAGAAGGCTGAAGCTGAAGAAAGTGGGAGTGTAGAGAACACTTTTATAGGCTGGAATTGAGAAGGCAGAGAAAATCAAATACTGTAGTGAAATGAACTATCCAGTATAAAGCTAGATGTACAGACTATGGCTTAAGGGTCATGTGCAACTTTTACATTCTTGATTGTGGTTCTCCACAGTACCTTGATGGCTCTGCTGCTGTCAGTTTTATCTTGCCAATTTCCTATTAATTGCTGTTTCCTTGCCATAGCTGACAATGAGGAAAAAGTGACTGGTATAAATATTGCTAGAAGAATTTCTAGCAATTACATTTATGCCTGTGTGTGTACACGTGTGCGGCCGTTGAGCCAATAACATGGGTCCCTTGGGGTTGAGATGTTGTGCTCTTATGTGACTGAACAAGGGAGCTTTGGAAGGTGCAGATCAGTGGTAAATTGAACATATTGTGGGGTGTTGTAAGGCCCAAATCACGAGAGACTTATTGTCCCTTTAAGGGGTTCAGGGAAGAGAACATTCTACGGGATATTGTGTCTTTTCTCTTTGTAGCAATATGGTTTCTGGCTCCTGGAATAAATACTGTAAGCAAGGAGAATTTAAGTGAGAAGTACAACTGTTTCCTCTAGGTGGTTCTCTTGTACTGCTTTCCCAGTTGCATTCCTCAACTGTCTTGGCCTTTTTTCATCTGAAGGTGGCAGAAGAGGAATATCTAATTCAGGAGTTGCGGAAAATTGAAGCCAGGAAGAAAGAGAGGGAAAAGCGAACACAAGACTTGCAGAAACTCATTACGGCAGCTGACACAACCACTGAACAAAGACGTGCAGAACGCAAGGCGCCGAAGAAGAAGCTGCCACAGAAAAAAGAGACAGAGAAGCCTGTAAACATTTTATGTTTCTTCCCCCTCCCCCACTACCCTTTGTTATGGCACTTCCTTCAGTTTGCCTACCAGGGCCTAGGAGTGGGTGGGTGGGAGTGGTAAACTGCCTTTAACTACACATGTAATTTTTGTGGTTTAGCTTGTTTCTTCCTGTAGTCAGATATCGCTTAGGTCAGTCTTTTAGGCAGGTGTGGAATCATGAAGCTACAAAATGATGAGAGCTAAGTTGTGTTCAAAAGAAGGCAGACTAGAAACACTTAAACGCCTCTCAAAGAGGAAATGAGCAAGAAATATGCAACCAAGGCGTTACTCTCATCCATGTTGTGCAGCAAAGCAAATGGGGAAGAGGTAGTGAAAGAAGCCAGTTTTAAGCTGGTTTGATCCATTGTGATTAAGAGTGAATGGATTAGAATTATTTCTGGACCATGTTAATTTCTTTTGTTTTTATAATAATAATCCTTCCCATTTCTGCATTGATGTGCAATTAAAAATAAATTCATTTATAAATGCTTATTTAAATAGCTGTTCGGAATGTTTTTTTCCACAAGGCATACATTTATAAGCAGACTTTAGCTAAATTGCACATCTCTAGATACATTTTATCTTAAAATAAGCACTTAAAAATGAATTTTGGCATTTTTAAAGATGGGCTGAAATTGGGTTATTTTGCACTGGAGTTGACAAAGAGTTGACAAAGAGGGAACTCCTCAAGCATTGCCAGTAGTTAGCCTGTGAAACCTGCTGCTACAAGATGATGAGGCTATAACCCCTCTCCCCTTTATTTGCATACACATTTAGCAGAAAGGTAGAAGGACTCAGTCTCATTCCAGAGTTAAGCCAATATTTTTGGAATACTAGTAGAGAATTCACTAGAAGAGTAAGTCTGAGTTATGAAGGCTGCAGGCTTTAGGAACAACTTTGGCTATCTGATGCCTATTCAATGCTTCTTACCTTTTTCTGTCCTGAATATGTCACTCCTTTTGTAAAACTCCTCTTGGTTACTTGTACCCCACAGTGTAATCTGTAGTACTGGGTGATGGGAAGCATGAGAGCTCTATATATTAAAAGGCAAGGAGTGATTTTATGTAGAAAAAATGTAGAATGGGAGGACTGGCTTTATGCAGTTTTGGGAAAGATCTACATTTTAGTGGGTGTGAGAAGAGAGATGAGGTCTTTACATCTACCTTTTTTTCTGTAAGCATGCACAGTTTTCTGTGCCCATTTATAAGCTTTTTGCAAGGAAGCCAGCCTTGCAGCGATTACGATGTCCCAGAGGTTTACACTGATTTGTTTCAGTTTCCTTTGCTCTGCCAACCAGACTCTTCCATGCCAATAGGAAGTGGGATCAAATAGCCACTTGAAGTGCTTCAGGCATGTTTGGCTGTCTCCCCCAGTATTGCCTGGAGCGCTTGTGCCTCTATGTAGGTAAGCACCTCGGGGCTCCTGAAGGCTGCTTCTGTTGTTGCAGTAGTGCTGTTTCAACCATGACAGAGTCCATTAGGAGTCAATTACCAACTGTAGCAGGAAAACGTTTTTTTTAAAAAATTGCATTTTAACTAAGAATTTGAATTGAGGGCTGTATCAGCATCATCTGAACAAAGGGAAGTCATTTACCAAAGAGTCAATTGAGGTTGAAGCATTTACAGCTTGCGCTGGCGTGTGAGGTATATATAGCAACTTGTTTAATTGCTCTGATGTTAGGCAAAGGCAGACTGTGCACTGTGGGTGGGAATTAGTGTATTCCTCATTTTCATTAGAGATTAGGTAGATAATTATTGAGAGGAGGATAATAAGGGCCCACCAAGCTGCTGCAGGATTCTCTAGAACTGAATAAAATGGATCTTTCAGTGAAGTGTAGTTGCAGATACCATTATAGTTGGTATGATTAAGAGCCTTACAGGTACTGGAATGTATCTCTTCTGACTTGGTAGCTATAGGGTTCACCTCCATCCCTTCTTTGCTGTCATCACAGTTTTCTGTCCCTCTGTGTTTGGCTGCAAAATATCTTGGGTACTAGCATCAGTTTATTAATTAAGAGTTGTAGTGCTTCGTTCTTTTTCTTAGTGTGTCAGGCTGAAGTCCCCACACATGTTTTTATGCATGGGTTGATCCAAACAGTAAGAGGAGTTACTATTTTAATTGTCCTCCAGTGTCATGAAGAAACAGGATTAATTGTAATTGACACAGGGGAGTGGCTTTTTTTGCTTGCAGCTTGGGAACCCGAATTAGACACAAAGAAAATGGTTTGAAGGTGAAGGAAATTCTCTCATCATCAGTATCATTGCAGTGATTATTGCAGTTGTACTTAGTGGATCCTTGCATTTATAAAGTACAGTATGTGAGTTGTATCATGGGTAGTTTTCAGTTTGTCCACTTAACATACAGTGAGCAACCTCAGCAGGTCTGGATGCCAGTTTCACCTCCCCAGGAGCTGCTGCCTACAGACAGCACCTCTGCCCAAAAGAGGGCTGTGTATGTTAGATAGAAAAAGAACATACAAACCAAAACAAAAAAGTAACCAGAATGGTATTTCCAGAATTCCTTCTCCTGAAGCCTTGTATTTTCAGTGGAGCAAAGCTACATGCCTGTTTTTTCTTTTTTCTTTTTTTTTTGCTTAGAGGAGAATTGTGCTTTTAAGTTCCAGAAGCAGAATTGTTCTTATTCTTTTCCTTCTCAGTGGTAATTGGGGAAAAGCATCTCAGGCTACAAAACAGATGGGGCGGAGTATAAATGTGAATTTTATAGGTGGAAAAGTACCTGTAGGAATAGGAATAACAGGAATATGAAAGGCTGGTGACACTTTCTGGCTGAGCTCCATTTTCTGTTAAACTCTGGTGACTCCCATGGGTTACTTTTAACCAAATAGTTGTTTTACCGCATTATTTGTTTTGTCCTTGATAGAGTAGTCAGCAAGGCAGAAAATTGGATCTCATTATGGTTTGTGTATAAGGTCAACAGATCATTAAAATGGCACCATATTTTCCTGTCTTGCCTGGTTCAAATGTAATGGGTTAGAATGTAAATAAATGATGACCTTGAGTATACTGGTCCCCTCTTGTCACATATATGGCTTCTTTGTTTCTTAGACCTCAATTTCCTGCTTTATCTGAATGGGGAAACTTTGGATAAAATCCTGTTGTTTAAACCTGTCCCGTATGTCCAGCCTCAGAAACTGCTAGGTCTGCAAACCGCAGTTTTCTATGATATCTGAACTGGGCAACTATGGTTTTACATTCCTGTAGAATGCTGGCTTATTGAGAGATCTGGAGATGACTGTAGTGATGAGTGTAGCATAATAAGCAGTAATGCTAATTTCGGGGTGGGGTTATCCCTTACATTGAAAGCAGTGAAAAATATGTATTTGTAAAGCTTTCTATAAACAAGTAGTTTCTGTCCAGCAGGACAGGAACAACTGCAAAAATTTTGCAGTCTGTCTGTGGCATTCTACCTTGTGCACAAGAGATAAGGAATTCAGTGTGAAGAAGAAAAGACAGACAAATCTGCAATATAATTTCTTTCTTTCGTTTGTTCGTTTGTTCTTTCTTTCTTTCTTATCTCCTCACTTTAACCTTCATAGCAAAATTATTAGATAATTTATAGTACTGAAGCATTTTTGAGTCCGTTGTTGGACATGACTTAACGACTAAACAAAAACAACAACAAAAGTGTTTAAACAGCAGATAAGGTATATTCTGAGCTTTTAAGGGGAATGTCTTTGGGTCATCATTCCTGGTGAAAAACAAGGGAGTACAAGGTAGGTATATTTATCCCCAGCATGATGTACAGGATGGAGTCAAACTAGAAGGAAATAGTATCTTTAACGACATACTACAGAAGTTAAATAGTTAATAGAGGTTAATACAGGAATAAGTTCTAGTTTATTGGAAAATGAAATTCATCAGCTTTTTACCAGAAAAAGTAAAAATGCATAATCCTGAAGGTGGGATTTGGTTGTAAAAAATATTTTTTGATGAATCCTGAAATTAATATAGGTCTTTATTTTGTAAAAATATATTGTTTTGCTTTTCAAAGCCAGAGTTGAAAATTTATGTACAATTGACACTATGTAGGGCTCGTCTTTGATGGGATATCTTTACACCTTCTTACATACTTCTTTTATCAACATGTGATGTCTCCTTCTCTTTCAGGCTGTCCCTGAAACAGCTGGCATCAAATTTCCTGACTTTAAGTCTGCTGGTGTTACGCTGCGGAGTCAAAGGGTAGGCTACTATGCTGGTTGTTGGGGGTTTGCATGGATGCTTGCTTGCTTTCATTTCCTACCCTCATCTTTTTTTAGAGCCGTGAAGGGACCACTGAAGTTAGGTTTCAACAATAAATTAGGTTCCAGCTAGCCCTTGTAATACTGGCGGTGTGTTTGCTCCTAAGGCCTATTAGAGATACTAGTTGTGCTGAATTGAATACGCCTGTGTTTTCTTAACTTTGGACACTTGAGCCAAACCTGTCTCTTTGCTCATATGTTTCCATTGAAGGCCAAGCTAATGTGGTCTGTATTTGAAACCTGACAGAAGTTAGGTCTGTAACTGGGAAGTTCAGTGGGAAATGAATTACAAGGGAATGCTGCTTTTTTCATACTGTACAATAAACATAGGTATTTGATTACCAAAATTTTCAGCAGATAAGTCTGATCTGTGCCTGGATTTCATAACAGTCAATTTGCATCATTGGGCAAAAATTATTTGGAGGAAAGGAGAACAAGTGATGGATGGTTCTTTCTGATTACTGAATTTACTCAAAGGCATTTTAATGTTACAGAGGACAGGTTACTTTCTGCTCTTATCCGCTTGTTTCCTCTCTTGCTTTTTACCCTTTATTTTTATTTATTACACAATGCTTCCCCACCCCCCACCCCGCATTGTATCAAGTGATTTTGCAGCTCTCAGGACACTTGAAAACTAGCCATTATGCTCAGGTGGTATGCTCCTGTGCTTGTGTTTGGAAGATGTGGATTTGAGATGCCAGTTCAGCCATGGGCATTGGTCAGGCAGGCTTTGATCAAATCACTGCCACATGGTTCCTCATTAGTAATATAGAAAGAAAAGTGGTTGAACTTCCTCAAGGAGATTGAAAAAATAGCTATACATTTATTGAAATAAGTGCCATATAACAGAAAAATGTTTGACAGTTCAAGAATTGCCACCTTCTGGAACAGTTAAGTTGAAGAAGAGATAAACTGCACTTCTTTTCTTCCTGTCATGGGTGTGGCTTATTTGCCATGTTTTCTCAACACTTCTAATAAGGCAGGAAATGTTACCTGGTTACAATGCATTTTAGAATTTAGGATTTTTGACTATATGAGAGATTCTTATATAATAGTATGGTAATTGGTAAAGCTTTTCAACATTACTGGGTGCTACTTTCAGTTGCTGCATTTGGATATAGTTGTTGCTTTTGTAGGAAGTTAGTTATTTTATCCTGTTTTAGGCTTAATAAGAAACCATGATCTGTTTGTTCTGAATATAAGCCTTAGATTAGCACCTCAGCTGCTACCACTGGTGAAGTTCTTAAGCGATTTATTGTTTGTTGCCCTCATTCTGAACATAGATGTATCTCATATCTTTTAATAGTCTATACAGTGAGTGTAGATGTGTATGTGCACACGCATGTGTGCACTTTGAAAAAAGTTAAAACTGTGGTATGACTTTTTATGTGCCACCAAATAGTTTCCGGTGTATGGCAACCCTATAAATTAATGACTTTCAGAAGGTCATATCATTGACAGCCCTATTCAGTTCTTGCAAACTAAAGGCTGTCACTTCTTTTAGTGTGTCAGTCCATGTCATCTTATGTCTACTTCTTTTTCTAGCAGCATTGTCTTTTCCAGTATTCTCTTCTCATAATTTGGGCATAGTTGGTCTGGTTTAGTGGCAGTCAAATATTAAGGACTTACCGTATTTGAATTATTGTGATGCAACTGTAAGGATAGATTGAAAAACTCTACTATCAACGAAGGTTTCCTCTCTTCTTTAAAGCAGTTTATTAAAAGATACTATCTTATTCAAGCTTTTATACAGTTTTTTTTCCTCTTGAGTAACCTTGAGATTTAAAGCATTCCACAAGGTGGTTCGTTATGGATGTGTTCCACTCATCCCAGCCACTGTGGCTGTGAGCCACCACATTTTGTACAATGTATCTGTATGGAACCAAGTTGGCGAAGACTGCCATAGGCATATGCCAATACTTTTTTTATGGGTAAATCTAGTCCAATGACTTGAACATAAAAACATCAGTTGATTGAGAAACATGAAATGAATAAGAAAAAGTCACCTTGGGTAATGAGAATAGATTTCTGACCACTTATTTGGCCTTGTCTGAAGTTCAGGGCACGGCAGAGCTGCTATTTTGCTATAACTGAAGTTTTTATTTCTAGGGGAAGAGTCACATAAAATGGGAAGATCATATGCTAAGTTGACATAACTATTCGTAAAATCCAAGCATTATAGCAATCAATAGCATATAGCATAATAGCAACTATAAAATATGAATTCAGCCTCTGTAAAGATAGTTTGATCTACGGGTTAGTGCTCACAGACCTGGAGGCTTAACCAATATTTATATGGCATTTCAAGAGTTGCTGCAAGTAATTATGATTTTAAGAGTTGGTCTGGAGAATGCTGGCTATATGGAGTCTGTATTTCTACCAGTATGTTGTTTTATGCCAGTCCCTCTGCATTTCTGTTTTTGACTGACATAGTTCAGAAACTGTGTACATTATGATATCTACAAAGGTGAGTAGACAAGAAAGCTCTAGGGACCAATCAGGAGACTATTTGTTAACTGCCTGGATAAAGCTTCCTTTCTAAACAGCTTATTCAGGTTTTCTCTGATGGTTTCTTTAATGGCTTGTTGCAATGGAGAAACCAGGAACAGCTTTATATATTTTTGTTTAATATTAAATAAAAGGTTTGTTGAACATCGGAGAACACCCATTGTTCTCTCAGTAAAAGCTTTTGTTGTTAAGGGTAATGATTATGTGACAAAGAGGTTTATTTTATGTAAAATGGAGAAGACCTTTAAAAAATAAAATTTATAGATACGAGTGTATCATATAGCATTGCACCTAGTTAGCAGAAATCAGGGATGTGAATACCTTGTGTGGAATGCAGGAGTGATTCAGTGTACCTGTCCAAAACTCTGCTTTTAGCAGCAGCTTGCAATGATCTTTCTGGGCCCTGATCATTTTTTAAATAGAGCTAGGTGTGAAAATTAATTCATTAGTGTTAATCATTAGAATAGGGGAGATAAATTCATTACTGTTACTGTTTAAACCTGAACATGTTTAATTAAATCATTAGTTTTTAAACAAACAGTGGGATTTATAGTAGTAGCACATTTATTGCTGACTAGCAGCACATTTGGTATTGGCTTCTTCAAAAACGCTGTTTTTGTCACTTTTGAATTCTCCAGTCTGGTATTTTTCCAGGTAGACTGTAACTCCCATAGTACAATTGTTGGCTAGAAATTATGGCTCCAATATAATGTGAAACTATTGTGTAGGACAGTGGTTCCCAACCTTGGATAACCCAGGTGTTCTTGGACTGCAGCTCCCAGAAACCCTGGCCAGCACAGCTGGTGGTGAAGACTTCTAAGAGTTTTAGTCCAAGAACATTTGGGGACCTAAGGTTGGGAACCAGTGATTTAGGGGAGGGATATGTGTCCTAATACAGCCTCTCATCTTGCTATTCAAGGAGGAACAGGCACCCACACAATCCAACAAGGAACAATTCTACAGAGAGCCAATAATATGTTTGATCACTTCAAGTGGACTTCTTTAGCAAAATGCTATGGAAGCTTTGCTGGAAAATATGGATTTAATAAAAGGCTGCTTGGTTTCCATCTCAACCTTTCTTTCCCAGGGCTATAAAGCTCTAGAAACTGCCTGTTCTGGCTCAGGCTTTTGAGAATTGTAGTCCAAACAAATAAACAAACAAATCAGAAAAGCTGATATTAATAATTATTTGTATAGAGCTCATGGGGAAGTGTACGGGTGCCTTCTTTCTGGATAGGTGGGTGGACACCCAGATATGGCATAAAAGTAGAAAATATGACAGTGTTACAGTGGGGTCTTGACTTAAGAACGGCTTGAGTTAAGAACATTTTGACTTAAGAACCACTCTCATAGGAAAATATTGCCTTGACTTACATACTTAGATTTGAGTTAAGAACGAAAAAAACCCACATGGGAGGCAGGGAAAGTGCAAAATTCGAACTTTCAGTTAACTGTTGGCCAGTGAAAAGGGTGCCTGTCTGCTTCCTCCCTCCTCCCAGCGTTTAGAGAGTGGATTGGGAGACAGTCTTCAGACTGCCTGGTACTGTACTGCCTGGACTGTATTTTCCCTGCCTTCCCTGAACCTTTCTTGACCTAAGAAACAAAATATCCCCCTATAGTGGTCGAAGGCGGAATAGCAGCTTCCCATTAGTTTCTATGGACGGAAAAGAGCAGATACGGATCAAATGGTTTTCAATGCATTCCTATGGGAAATGCAGATTTGACCTGAGAACTTTTTGACTTGAGAACCGCCTTCCAATACGAATTAGGTTCTCAAGTCAAGACCCCACTGTACTTGTAAAGCATTACTTTGAAAGCAGTACATAAATTGGTATTCTCCTCCTGTTTGGTGGAGAAAGAAACACATTTTATGTTTATATGTTTTAATGTATTATTTTGAAGTCTTTTCCAGACTTGTTGAACTTCTAGCTTAACTTCCTTTTGGAAATTCATGGCTTAAATAAATTTTAAAGAGAAAAAAGGTACAGACACTGGTTATGGATAACCAACAGGGTTTTTACTTGTACAAATTCTTAAAAAGAAGGAGTTCATTGGAAATTAAAAAGCTGTTTTTTGCTGTTAAAAAACAACTCTGGTCCTTGCTTCATTTTGGGGGGGGGGGAACAGTGCAACGAAGTGGCTCTTTAGAAAAAGTAGCATTATTATCTGATGCTCAGATGTGCCGCTTTTAAGAGATTGGAGAAAACAGCAAACATTGCTCATGATCTTTCCTAAAAATTACTGACATAGGCCAGAATCAATGTTCGCTTTGAGCCATGTGGGTGTGCCAGCGTGTAGTGCTACATTGGGGCTACACAGCTGAACTAGTGTTGCCACCCATTTGCTTCCAGTTGCGACTGAAACTGTATACACGGGGTGTGGGGTTCCCATCCAGCACTCCAGAAAATGAGAGAGACCATTGGCTAGAATCCT